GCCGAACTGGGCAGAGGACAGGAAAGATCAGGCCCCTCTGACTACTGTGGTAGGAAGTGGAAGCCACTATCCACCAAGACCACACCCAGTGGGTGATTCCTTTAAAACAAGAGATCAGGGTACTAATAGGAAATACCTCCTCCCCTCCCCAAGAAAGGACGAACATCACTATACTAATTAACAGAAGAATATGAAACCGCCTTTACAACAAGCATCTAAAGTAGTTTTTTTCCTCAAAAAAACCCAAAGATTCATGTAGAGATAGCCACTTCTTAATGAGAATTTCAGTAACAGAGAAGTTCCATACCATTTTCAACCAATGTCTCAAAAATGAAAATTCTTTAAAAGGTTTTTAACTAGGTTTGATGTCAAGTTGCTGGTTTTATCCTAATAAGGTGTCCACTTGTCACACCATTGCAGAATTGCCCATTAAAGGGATTCTTTTGCCCAATATCCAGCCATGAAAAAATGAGAGGACTCAGAGACCAATAACTTAAAAATCAATTTACTCTAGGAATTCATGTCATCTATTTCAGGCTAGAAATAGGTCCCAACAATTTTTTTTTTTTTTTTTTTTTTTTTTTTTGAGACGGGGTTTTGCTCTTAGGGTCCAGGTTGGAGTGCAGTGGCACGATCTTGGCTCACTGCAACCTCCACCTCCCAAGTTTCAAGTAATTCTCCCGCCTCAGCCTCCAAAGTAGCTGGGATTACAGGTGCCCGCCACCACACCTGGCTAATTTTTTTTTTTTGTATTTTTAGTAGAGACAGGGTTTCACCACATTGGCCAGGCTGGTCTTGAACTCCTGACCTCAGGTGATCCTCCCACCTCAGCCTCCCAAAGTACTGGGATTACAGGCATGAGCCACCATGCCTGGCCTGGCCCCAACAATTTTTATATCTTTTAGTCTCTTAAAGGTTCTTTTCTTTATGAGGGCTCCTTCTCTCAGATTCTGATTTCTACCAGCTCTAGATATAAGAGTTAAGAATATAGTTTTTTTAGGAACTGAAGACAAATAGCTTATTAAAGAGGTTTAAAGATAATGCCACTGCCGGGCACGGTGGCTCACATTTGTAATCCCAGCACTTTGGGAGGCCGAGGTGGGTGGATCACGAGGTCAGGAGTTCAAGATCAGCCTGGCCAGCATGGTGAAACCCCATCTCTACTAAAAATACAAAAAATTAGCCAGGCATGGTGGCGCACACCTGTAGTCCCAGCTACTCGGGAGGCTGAGGCAGGAGAATTGCTTGAACCCAGCAGGCAGAGGTTGCAGTGAGCTGAGGTCCCACCACTGCACTCAAGCCTGGGCAACAGAGCGAGACTCCATTTCAAAAAAAAAAGATAATGCTATTCTATCACATTTGTCCACTGTAGTATTTATAATTCATACAATTACTAAATCTAACATAAAATTTAGACCATTACTTTTATAGCTCTTTTGGTACAATGTTTATCTCAACTCCAAAATTAACTGACTTCACCAAGACAGAGCTGATGAGTTACAAACTTCAACGTATACTTTACTTGTCATGAATGAAAGCAATACATACTCATAACTGTCCCCTAGAGGTTTCTTGATACATTTACTGTTACAATGGTATCAATAAGAAGAAATTATTTTTCTTTGAAATAAGATTACATAGATGCCATGCCTATCTTTTTAAATTGAGAATCTATATTATGTTAAATTGGTTTGGTTGGTTGTGTAGATATTTTTATTTACAAAATGTTAATTTATTGGGTACATGTGGAACAAAGAGACTGTCCAAGCCAACCAGAACATTTACAGAGCTGCCAGGGAGATGATTTTCTTTTGTATGACCATTTGATGAAAACCTGAGATGGATTTTTATGATGTAATCAGACATTTAACATTTTTTAGTTTGAGATGTAATTTGTCTCATATGCTTATGTGTCTCATATGCTTCTTGTCTCAATGATATAAGAAAAATTTTAAGGACGCGTAGAAAAGTTGCATGGAGAAGGCCTACAATTTTCACATATTTAAGCATTTGTGGTTATGTTTTCAATGGGGTATTCACCAACAATATGTCATCTTATAATGCACATGTACATGCTACTACCCTAAATATATACAACTCCACATCTAATGGCCTATAACACTTATTAATTGCCTAGTAGAGACAAGAAAGTAGAAGATCTAGCCCTTCCATTCCAGGAGCTGATAATATCTATACATCTTTGCCTTCCAACTTGAAAAACATTTTCTTTCTCTTAACATAGTCTTGGTCTACTCAAAACCATTGAACAGGTCTTTCAAATGGAAATGGTAGGCTTCGAGCTGTTTTAATAACCAATATCTGTACAATAAAATCAGCAGATCTGAAACCCTGATTAAAGTGACTTGGTAACCTGAATACCTAGAAACTGATGGTCGAGAAGAGGCTATTACTTCCTTTTACCAGCTCCTCACACCTTATATTGCTCTTTTACAGACTGGGATGTAGAAAAGGGGCTGGCCCACCCAAATGCCTGATCTCTCTGAATGCACGTGCTCCATATGCATAAATGGAAAGAATAAATCGAAATGAGGCCACTGTTTTCCTGTTTTCCTGTGTCAGGACACTGTCAGCATGAGTAGGAATATCAATCGCCAGGCATGCAAGATCTAGTGAGTTCCTATTCCAGTGCTGCTTTCTCTGCTAGATCAGGTGGCAGTTTGCAGAAAAGCAACATCCTGAAAGTTTATTTGCTATTTGCAAGTCAGGGAATATGACTGGGCACAGAAAAATAGTCTACTGCTGCTTCAGAAAGTATTTCATAGACATTTTGAGGATGTTGCTTCCATAGGAAGGAAAATATCTGATTTCTGGACTGAAGTATATACAAAGTTGGGGCCAAATCCAACGTGGGTCTGTGGTCTACAAACTGTGAGATGTGAAAAAGGATGTGATGGCAGGTCCCATCTGTCTCATTCACCCTAGTTCCTGACATACAGTAGCCATTCAATAATAATTATTGAATAAATGAATAACTGAACAAATAAATGAGCAGATTTCTTAATGACAAATTCATTTTGAAGCATTTTTCTGATCCTTGGTGGTTAAAAGCCTTAGGGAAGCCATAATTCACAGTGATTCTTTTAGATGCAGCTAAATTTTGGTTAAGCAACACCAATATATGAAAATCTGGGTTCACAAAATAAATACATTAGAGTTACTATACTTACTATATGCTTTACAATTAAGTTGAAATATACCTTAATGTAGTGGGTTTCTAAATGCTGGCCCATGAGGTCTCCTTAGGTTCACAGTGAAATAAGAAAAATTAGTGTGACATATTGTTCATCATGAGGCTGTTCAATTCAAGGAACTGTCCTTTATTCAAAATTGAATCTTCCCCCATTTCTGAGGTTAAAATACTTTTTAATAAATGATGGGCATAATCTATGCTAGTTGTTCCTTTTTAATACTCTTGCCAATATAAAGTTGCCAAACCTATATTGACTCCCTTGCTTATCAGAAAATATTTTATTAGTCTGAGAGATCCAAATGTCGGCGACTGGCTGAGTTTCAAAATATGACTCATTTTATAAAAGCATACAAGTGCTTTTGTTGTTGTTGTTTTTTAGAAACTTATCTATTGAATAAAGGAAGTAGTATAACCTTGGCTTTAATGCCCATGTTAATGACAGCCAACAGGTGGTAAGTTGCTGCTCCATGCCTAGCTCTCAGGGCTTTTCAAAACGTATTCATCCATTTAAATTTCACAGTAGCCCAAGGAGGAAGTATTGTTATTGTCTCCGTTTCATAGATGAGGAATTCTAGGGATTGTCAACTCCATGCCCCAAAGGATGCACAACACAGCTAGCAAAGCGGCAGAATTGAGATTCAAACAATGGCTCCAAGAACATATATTCTTTTTTAAAATGTAGTTTTTTGGTTTCTTTTTTTGATTCCTCAGAGATCCCTACTCTGAACATATATTCTTACATTACAAAGAAACTGGGTCATATGAGAGTACAACCAAGAGAAAAACATTGTTTGTTATTATATTATAATGTTATGGAAATGGAGGTTCAATTAGCGTAGAGATTATAAACTCCTCTTCAAGACTGACATTATCTTACACTGAAGTCAGAGCCTCTCCCAATCTTAGTTTATCAACTCAATTCTTGATAACCTATTTTTAGCTTCAGTATTTGCAGATATTGTCTTAAGCAACATTGTTGCTTAAGCTCCTGCTTTAATTAGCCAATTCCAAACATCTCCCACAAAAAAAAACCCAAGAAAATACGGTATTTGCAATGGAGTGTTTCAACCAAGAAGGGGCTTTAAGCGCAACACTCAAAAGCTTAGACATCAGGATTAAGTTAATTTAGGGCAAATTCAACCTTATAGTCAACAAATAAGTGTATTTCACTTTATATTGTTTGTTATGTAAAAGTATTAAAATACCAGTTTCTAAATGTAGCTATCCATCCCCCAAACAGATGCTGCTTTAAAATAGGAAGAACACAAACTTTAGTTGGAACTCACATATTCCCTTGCAGAGTCAGAAACCCAAACATAACAGCAATTGGGCAAGTAGGTAAATGAGGAAGTACAATTCATAATAAATGGACAGCAAAACCGATGAGTCAAATTAGACATTTTGACTATAAAGCGACCAAACGCCTCTCCCCAAAAACCAAAAGCCAAAACCTTTTCAAATATACAGCAACCGAATCAGACGGTAATTTTGGCTTTAAAAATCTACAATACTCTTGGTAATGCTAGAAATGATTTATCTGGTAGGTTAAAGTTAGGTATCTATGATTCCACTTAACATCATTTACCAAATGCTGCATTTCATTAATGGAGCTGTCAGTTTATTCTGATGGTAATGAAAAACAGGTTTTAACATTAATAAGCCCTGGGTCCACCAGAAAATAACAGTGAATCAAGAGGTCCTGAGGTTTATGCAGTTTAAGGTAACTCTGTAGATTAAATTTCCACCCTCCAGTCCTGAGAGCTGTGGTGTACACCCTCAGTCCGAATACCTTGTTGAGCATACAGGACAGTCATTTCCGACACTGCAGGTAACTCCTGCACAGACTCTTCATTCAAGTTGCTGGCTTCTGCTCAAGTACCCATCCCTAGCCCACATGCCCTAGAAAAACACAGGAACCAGTTCGGGACGTAGTTATGCATCCAGCACCCCACGCTCCTCCCCAAGACTATCCTCCTGCCATCCCAGCTCAGTGGGGCCCAGCCCACTACAATCCAGATCCCGCTCTCCGAACTTCCCCCGCCCACTCTCCCCACGTGACCAGGACCCTCCCAACCGCCGCCTCGAGTTCCACCAATCAGCAACCACCTCCGCCCAGAATCCGGGACCTGGCGCTCCTGTTTCAAAAAGGCAGCTTAATCCTCCCGCCCTCAGCCACGCCCCCTTTCCGCTTCCCCGCCCCGCCGGTCCCTCCCACTTCCCTCAATTCCCTGTTCCCCTCCTCCCCTCCGGTGGCGCCCTCCCGCTCCCGGGCTTCGCCCCGCCCCACCAGGGGCAGCGCGCTCGCTCTCTTCTCGCGAGATCTGAGCGTCCCCGCCGCGGCCGCCGGGCTCCCCCTCCCGTCCTCCCACCTCCCTCCCCCGGCATCTCTCACTCTCCGGCTCTCCTCCCTCCCTCCTCCCCCCTCCACCCTCTGGGCCGGATCTCGTCTCGCTCAGGCGGAGGAGGAGAAGGAGGAGGAGGAGGACGACGTTCGGCCTGCGCAGTGAGATGTTTGTCCGTCGCCGCCGCCGCCGCCATCGCGGAGGAGCGCGATAAAGGGAGCAGAGCCGGGCGTGAGGGGGACCCTGCGGAGCCACCGCGCCAGCGCAGCCCCCCAGCCGCGTCGGAGCAGCCGGAGCCCGAGCCGCCGCCGCCGCCCCCGCCGCCGCCGCGGCTGCCCAGGGGCCGGCCAGCTCCCCAGCCCTGCCCGGGGGCCGCGCCGCCCCCAGCGTCGCCCCTCGCCTGCCTGCCCGCCTTAAATGTGACACCGGCGTCGCGGAGCGCGACCTGAAGCCGCCGCCGGGGAGGGGACGAGCACCATGTCGAATCTGAGCAAAGGCACGGGCAGCCGGAAGGACACCAAGATGCGGATCCGGGCCTTTCCGGTGAGTCTCTCCTCGGCGTCCGGGACCCCGGGGCCGGGGGCCGGGCCGAGAGCCGCACGCGAGGCCCGGGCTGAAGTCCCCCAACAGGCCGCAGGCCCGGCCTCCCCTCCCCCACGCTCGCCGGCCGCGGGGCGCGAGCCTTCCCGGCAACCGGGCGGCGCGGGGCCCCGGCGCGGCCGCCCTCCCGGGCCGTTCCCCGCGCCGGGAGTCCGGGCTTGGCGCCGCGCCCCCGTCCGGGAGTTGCTTCTTCAGCCGCTCCACGGGCGTCGGCTGCGGCCGGGGCCCCTCGGCCGCCCCACGCCTCCCCACGTTGCCGGGGTTGTAGGCCCAGGCTCCGGCGCTGTTAGCAGCGGCGAAGTCCTCCCTGTGTGGGGCGTGTGTGGAACTTTTCACGTGGGGTTTCGTTACACTTTCAAAAATTACCCAGTCTAGCTTGTAGGGTGATGAAGGGGCTGCCCTCTCACTCTGCCCCCCTCCCCAGGCAGGGCTGTGCCAGCAACCTGCCCCCGAAGCAGTGACAGTGGTTCCACGGAATGCTCAGTGGTCATAAACTAGTAACATTGGGTGTATTTATAGCGTCTTTCATCCTACAAGCCTCCTAAGCACTTTACAAACTGTTGTGCAGGATTGCCTCGCCACTCGGAGGAAGGCCGGGTGGTAGGAAGCAACAGAGAGCAAACCGGACAATTGGTTCTCCATTTCTCAGCCTTGGGAGCCCGAAGAATGAGTGTAGTCGCCTTGCAGAGTTGCTTTCTTTCATCACTTTCAGTGACAGCAAACGTGTTCTGTTCAGAAACCTTTTCTTTTTTGGCATTACGTTGTGTCGTAGCCTTGTGGTGTTTAGCATATAGGGTATAACTTTGGGTGTCATATCTGGTTCGTCCACCCTATGGCAAGCAATTAAAATGTATTATTGTTAACAAACTGGACATACTTGCCTATGTCGCTACAATAAAAGGCGTACGTCAAGACAGACGAACTAGCAATCGGACAGAAGATTTTAAAAAACAAAATTAGAGAAAGATCTTGGTCTTCCCTTCTTAGATTCATAAATACTTCGTATGATGTGCAGGCGAAAGAGGGAGGTTTGTTGTCACTTTTTAAAGAGTGCTTTTCCTGAAGAGCAGTTGCCTGAGAAAAGACTTATATTAATATGATTGCCCCAGTTGAGTCAAGTAATTTAGTCTCAGAGAACATGAGGATCTCTCTGAATTCCTAAAATTTAAAAGGATACAGCTCATGCAGAATTCTGAAATTGCAAGAACATAAATACTAAAATCAGTGTGCGAAAACCTCTGCTTTGTGTAAATAGGTACGGTGTATTTAGGAGAATTAAGTGTTTTGATAATAATTAAAGATTTTTGGAATGTTTCGAACTTTTTTCTAAGTAAACATGAGAAATGTTGACAAGCGAGTACTAACGAAGCTTACTAGTATGTTTTCCCTTATGATTGGGCACAGAGCTGGGTTATGAATTTGTGATTAATATTAATTTTCCTACTAAATTCTGATCACTTTAGAGTTTAGAATTACTTAGAATTTTATGAAGTTAATAGTTTTATACAACAGGTTGTCTTTTTCTTTTCTTTTTTTTTTTTTTGAGACAGTTTCGCTCTTGTTGCCCAGGCTGGAGTGCAATGGCGCGATCTCAGCTCCCAGCAACCTCCGCCTCCTGGGTTAAAGCGGTTCTCCTGCCTCAGCCTCTGAGTAGCTGGGATTACAGGCATGCGCCACTACACCCGGCTAATTTCGTATTTTTAGTAGAGACAAGGTTTCTCCCTATTGGTCAGGCTGGTCTCGAACTCCCGACCTCAGGTGATCCACCCACCTCGGCCTCCCAAAGTGCTGGGATTACAGGTGTGAGCCACTGCGCCCAGCCTATACAACAGATTTTCTAGGAGTGTTTGCGGCCTTACACTACTCAATTCTTGAAGTCTTACGTTCTGAATAAGATTTTTTGCTAAAATGTGGAGGAACTCAAATTTGACATAACTCACTCAAGTGAATGGCGTTCTGATTGACCAGCTGTACGTTCATCTATGTGTAATCAAACTCTGATCACTTCAGGTTTCCCTGCTTTTGCCTGTTTTGCCATCATTTAATTTGTTCAGTAAATATTGAATATTATGTGCCAGGCACTGTTCTGGGCGTCTGTCAGGATAGCTAGAAAGACCGAGATCCCTGCCTTCTGGAGCTAATATTGTTGGGAAGAAGAGGTGGGAGAGAATTTCATTATTCCTTTAGCTGACTAGTATAATAATGTTGTGTGATACGTTACCACATAATACTGGAACTTAATTTTTTTTTTAGCTTCGTTATGATTATGAGCTAATTTGGACCCATTCTGTCTATGACTTTTGCAGGTTTTTCTGAAAACCTTACAGAAGTAAGTGACTAGTTTTGATATTCAGTAGTTAATAGCTGCTGATTTCTAAAAGAATTTTTCATTACTGTTTAGTAAGTATTAATAACATTCATAAGTAGTTCCCATTGAAAAGAACTATTATAGTTTATGACCCTTTGTTACATATATATATATCTCAGTGGTAGGGTATTTCATAGTTTTGTCTTGTTAACCGTGTGCTTATGGACCTTCAGAATTCCTGTCTTCCAGATTAGCAGTCTTGTGCATAACTACAGACTGCATGAGTTGCTGGTCAAAAGTAGTTAATGCATAGTATGCCATAAGGAAAAAATATGGCTGGGTGCAGTGGCTCACGCCTGTGATCCCAGCACTTTGGGAGGCGGAGGCAGGTGGATCACCTGAGGTCAGGAGCTTGAGACCAGCCTGGCTGACATGATGAAATCCCATCTCTACTTAAAATACAAAAAAATCACGGGGTGTGGTGGTGGTGGATGCCTAGTAATCCCAGCTACTTGGGAGGCTGAGGCTGGAAAATCGCTTGAACCTGTGAGGCCGAGGTTGCAGTGAGCTGAGATCGCGCCATTGAGCTCCAGCCTGGGCAACAAAAGCAAAACTGTCTCAAAAAAAAAAAAATTGTTTATGGTTATACATATGTACATCCTTAATTGTTTATGGATCCACATATGTACGTATTTTAAAATAACTGTATTTTACATCTGTTGTTTGGATATATAGTTACTATAATTTAAGGGAAACTATAGTTTCACCAAAAGTCTTAAGCACTCGGCTGGAGAAGGTGGTTCACACCTTCACACCTGTAATCCTAGCACTTTGGGAGAGGCAAGCCGGGTAGATCACCTGAGGTTAAGAGTTGGAGACCAGCCTTGCCAGCAGGCAAACCCCTGTCTCTACTAAAAATACAAAAATTTACCAGGTGTGGTGATCACACACCTATAATTCCAGCTACTCGGGAGCAAAGGCACGAGAATCATTTGAACCTGGGAGGCAGAGCTTGCAGTGAGCCAAGATCATGCCATTGTGCTCCAGCCTGGACAACAGAGTGAGACACTGTCTCATAAAAAAAAAAAAAAGAAAAATTGTGTTTAAGGTGGACAACATGATGTGTTGATAATGTATACATTCTGACGTGATTACTACCATCAGGCTAACACAAAATCACCTCTTTTTATTTTTAATTTTTTTTGAGGTGGAGACTCGCTCCGTAGGCCAAGCTGAAGTGCAGTGGCACGATTTCGGCTCACTGCAACCTCTGCCTCCTGGGTTCGAGCGATTCTTCTGTCTCAGCCTCCCGAGTAGCTGGGGTTACAAGCATGCACCACCACGCCTGGCTAGTTTTTGTATTTTTAGTAGAGACAGAGTTTCACCATTTTGGTCAGGCTGGTCTTGAACTCCTGACCTCCTGATCCGCCCGCCTTGGCCTCTCAAAGTACTGGGATTACAGGTGTGAGCTACTGCACCTGGCCAATGGTTCTGTTTTTTTTGTCTGCGTGATGAGAACAATTAAGATCTACTTCCTTAGCAAATTTAAAGTATATAATACAGTGTTATTAACTATTCTTACCGTGCTGCACATTTGATCTCCACAATTTATTCATCTTACAACTTGTACCCTTTGATCAAAATCCACCCCCCCCATTTCTTTCATTCCCCAGCGTGGGCCACAGAGCAAGACTCTGTCTTAAAAAAAATAAAAATAAAAAGTCTCAAGCATTCTTCTCAGGTTGTTTTACAAAATTAACTCGTAGAAAAGTATAGAATTATGTTTTGAGATTGTTTTGTTTTCATTGCAAAATAGAG